CCCCAAAACCCCAAAACCCCAAAACCCCAAAACCCCGTTCATTAATTTGTAAGTTGATAAATATTGCGTTGTTTGAATATTTAAACCACAAATAATTCTCTATTTTTCTTTGATTTTTTCAATTCATTTCAATATTCTCTATAATCCTCAAGTCCCACCTCTTTAACTGTATTTTTACGGCGCATTAGCTCTCTCTTGCTATATCCATTGTAAGGAAATGTATAATTGGGAATTTATTGCATCTTAGAAATAGTATAATTTTAATAAAACTGGTAATGAATTTAGTTTAAGAAAGTTTCTAAGACTTGAACACATTTTTATTACAAATCGGTGAGGGAGTTATTCCCTCCTTCCCTGATTTGTGTTTCTCTCTTTTAAAATTATACCTGTTAAAAGTTCTACGCTTGCCTCTAACCTTCCTTTTCCCTTCCTTCATTCTATACCACTCATTAACAAAATTCCCCTTCAAAATCCAATAATTGCTAAAACCCTCTTCTTCATTAATAAAATCCATACACAGCAAGAACAAAATCTACTAAAAATTCGGAAGTTTAACTGAAAGTCATGAAGGCTTGAATGGGGTTAGGTTTTTGACTAAATGTGCACTTTATGCTGGAAAGTTAGGAATATAGGATTTAAAAGACAAGATTTGAAAAGTGTGGTTTTTGGGAAATTGTGGAGTAGAATTGGGGTTAAGCTAGGATTTTGAGAAGTGTTGGGAAGAAATTGGGGTTTTGGGGTTAGGGTTGGATGGGATGGGGAAGTTGGGTATTTAAATAAGGGTTTTTGGGACAGGGAGGAATCTAATGCTTACTCGGATATGAATTGTTTGGTAAGATCATCAGAAGTAGACAAAGATAAGGAGGAAGGTAGCTTATGTGCAGTGGCTGATAAAGGGGTGGAATTATTAGCCTTTAAGGACACCCTCTTCATTGTTTTTGAAGGCGCTGAAGGGTATATAGAACCTTCTGTGTTAAATTTTCTCTTCAAATTCTCATTATTTTTCTTCTCTTTTGAGTTTAGAGAAGAGACTTTCATAACACAGTGGGAATTTAATTTCCTCTTCGTCCTATTCTTTTTTTGAATGATTCTTTTGTGTTTAATATCTTCTGAACTTGAGCTTGTACCTAAATTTAAATTATATTATGCTTTTTCAAATAGCCTTACTTTTTGCTGTATTGATTATAACATGACTATCTTCTCAATATTGTATGTTCTCCTTTGTATCTTCTAAATTGTGTTCATAAAATTTTAAATAAAATTTTTTCAGATCAATATTTTTGCAAATAAAATATCAAATAATAATTATCTTTTTTAGATGTTTTCAAATACTTCACCTGATTAGCTTAGATCTTAATAAGCAACCATCAGTCTCTAAACAGTACCACCCTGAAACCTTTCTCCCCACAATTCATAAATTCATCCATCAAAACAACACCAGCTGATCCTAAGACCCCATCCTCCTATCCACCCAAAACACCTCAACTTCCTACCAAAACCCCAAAATTTCCCCCAAAACCTCCTCCCCACCTCTCCAATTTCCCCAATTCCTTCTCAAATCCCACCTCTCCACTCCTCCATTAAAATCCTGCATCTCATCACAAGCCCAATCTCCGCTTGCCACCCCTCTTAATGGGGACAAACAGCGCTGGCTAAATTCCTTAAATGCATAAATTTGGGTTCAAGCCCCTGTTCTTGTGCATGTGGCAGGAGTATGAGGGAGAGAGGAAGTCAGTGTGTATGGGCGTGAGATTAGAAGGGAATTTACCTGTTGGTAGTTCAGGCTTTCCTGATCAGCAAGTGATTTTATTCCCCATGAGGCTGGTTTGGTTTAGAAATTAATTATTCAACTAAGGGGGGTTTAAGAGGGGTTTTGGGGTTTTGGGGTTTTGGGG